CAGTCCAGTCAGTGTTCTGCTGAGGTGTTCTCAGTCAGGAGTATCTGTGTCTCTGCAGTCCAGGGAGTGGTCACTGACAGTCCTCTGGCCCTATATTGGCAAGTCCAGGAAATAGGGTAATGGATTTGCGAACATGTACAGGCATCAGTCAAGCGTCTGGACACTTTTCGTTCAGGGCGGACTGTTTAGGTTGCTCAAGGGAGTAGATTATGTTCTATTCATTAAATTGGTTCAAAGAGACTAAGGAGATGTGCGGGTAGGTTGGGATGGCAGAAGTCACTGCTGCGGAAAGACGACTCTGAAACCTAATCATGGAGTTGCGGTCTGAGCGCAATGATAATCACAAAGTGGGGGACAACTGTACTTGTTAGGTGACATACTCTTAAGCATGGATGGGGATGGGACAATGTAACAGGGTGTCTCGTCCATGATCAGGAGCTCCCTGGCTTCAAGGAGGAGACAGTGGCACAGTCATCTCTTACACTAGAGGCAAGGGGGATAGGTGGAGAGGTTAGGACCTGAGAAGGTGTGAAGCCTATGGAGTTTGTGTGAAGGATTATCAGAAAGGGGATCTGGATGATCAGGGCTTCACTGATACATAACAGGTGAAAACCGGAATCTAGTACCCAAAGAGTACACACTATCACCTTCCATTGTGCAGAAAGTATGCAACTGGAAAGAAAATAGCTGCATCCAGAGTCAGAGTGGGCAAAGTTAATATCTCAACCTGTGAGGGAAGTGGCTACATGACCCGATGATGTGAGACACTTCAGAGGATGAACAGCAAACAACTTCGTATAAATGAGATAGTTTTATATACAGTATACAGTCACCCATACTACTAAAGTGTCCTCAGAAGGTTTTTTTTTCCTTTCACTTCCACCAAGTCTCAGTGTTGTCCCAAGTTTGGTAGATGAGGTGGAGGAAGACTATTCAGCAGTGGAGTCCTTTGGCCTTGGGGGTCTGGTTGTGCAACCTCAGGGCATTTGTGTCTGTACAGTTCAGATATAGTGAGGGTCTTCTTGCCAGAGGCAAATGCCTGCCCCTTGGCTTCAATTTCAACAGCTGGATGGGGGCAGGCAGGATGGAGGTGGAGGACCCAGCCATCTCTGGAGTGTCCTGTAAGTGGGCTTCAGAGGAACATGTGTCTGGTTCCTCCTCCAACTAGCTATCTCCTGGCACTGACCCATCTCTTTCTAAGGAAGGGGCAACTGGACTGCATGCTAGGTCCTCCAAACCCCAGTTACCATGACTTTGGTCCTGAAGTCAATGGAGCACCAGACCTCGAGGATGCTGCATCTGCTTCTCCTGGCAGCCACCAATCTGTCCAAAGTTGACTTGATGTTTGGAGCAGCTGGGTCGCCCTAATGTAGCTGCACTCCTGCATCCTCTGTGCTCTGAGAGCCATTGCATCCCATAATCCTGTCTGTCGTAACTGTTCCTCCTTGTACATGTGGACAAAGTCCTTGATTGCCTTAAGCACCATGTCTTCTCTTGCCTGGGACTGAGCAGGTTTCTGATCCCAAGCAGTGCTCTGGGTGTGAAATAAATTGTAAAATGACTGTTCATTCTGGCAGCAAGCTAGATTATTTTAGTTATCAAAATCCTGATATAAACACTGTCACCATATATTTCACAATAGTAATTGAATTTATGATCACTTTCTTTAGTTGTGGACAAAATGATGCTTTCTCTGTCTTATTTTGTTAAAAATGGAATACTGACATTTAACACTTAATTTGAACTTGTCTGATTCAAAACTAACCTGGGTAGCAGCGTCATGACTCACTGGGGTAGTGCACTACAAATTAAGCCCCATTATTTCTGAAATCATCACAAGTGTAAAATGATGTAATCAAACTATCCAATGTCCCAATTTTCCTGACTGATGAACTCAGGTTAAAAGAAAGCTCTCACAATGTTTCTGTACTTAACAGGAAAAGAGCCATTTATTGTGAACAAATTCCTAACCAATGGCAATTAGCAAATATCAACTAATAACTATAATTTAAACACCTTCCTTCACAAACAGACAAACACAGAAAGATAAACAAGACATGAATATTCAGGGAAGAAAAGGAAAACAATTAGAGAAACCACAGTTCAAAAGAACTAGTCTAGGGGTTGATGACTTGCTTTCTTTTGGTTTCTTCCAATTCCTTTTAGTTCTTTGCTATTGGCACATGTTTGTTTACGCACTTATGTTCTCTTTCATTCACTATTTGAAAATTCATGTTTCTACTATCTTTGAGGGTGTCTTATCCTCCTTCAGTGGAGATTTTTAGAAAGGTGAGTGGAAGACAATTAGCTGTTTCTGGAGACTTTCTGGCACCACCACAGAGAAATAGGCATTGAGAGAGATTTTTGGGATGTTTTTGTTTTACAGGCAGGATGTTTCTCTGCTGCATTGGCCCCACACGAGCCATAGACACCTGGCCAAGAACCAATCAGAATGTTGTTGTCAACCAATTGTCCTTCTGGTTCAGAACTCGTCAGCTCCTTAATGTCTGCTTTTGCTCTCATTGTTCCACAAAATTTGCAACATTGTGTACAACTCACAATGGACTCCATTAAATTAGCCTTTAAAACTGCAGCCATACCTTTGCATTGCCTCCTTGGTTGAAAGCAGTACCTTCTCTCTAAATCCATTGTCCAAAACTAAAGGAAATAAAATGATGTGGCCTTTACAATAGCAATGCTGGTGTATTAGCACAACAGATTAATGTGCACAGGTCCTGATCTACCATTAAGGAATTCAGTGGCAAGAATGAATGCAAGGGCCATTTGAACAACATAGACATCGATGAGAAAACTGCAATGTCTGACAGCCAGACAGAGGAACAGAGAAAGAAGCCAAGAAATGGGAGGAACAATGAAAGGTAAGCGAGCGAGAGAGAGGCACGGAGGCAGACAAAAGATCCTAAGTGTCAAAACAGGAGAGAGAAATTAGAAAAAGCCACAAGGTTAGAGAAAAAGGTATTTAAGCAAAGGGAAAAGTCCAATTAAAAAAAATGGACAGTGATGCATGGAAGATGATAGAAAGAGAGAGAGAAAGCAAGAAATTCATACAGGACAGAACCTGTAGTTTCTTAGGAAGCCACTTAACAGCTCTTTGTGTTGACTCGACTGTCTTACTGAAATATTATTACAGGGTAAAAACTGACTGCTGTGAAATAATGTTTGAAGTCCACTTTTATTTATTCTTTGGCTGAAATTTTGTAATCTGCTGTTTAAAGTGTTCAATTAACAGCGTCTGCTGCATGTGCAATTCATTTGTGGGCTGCCACGCAGCTGTGAAATTTTACTGACTTCATAAAAAAGAAAATAGCAGCCGAATGCTAAATACGGGTCCTGGGGCTCACCCCTGAGACACATCTGAAATCATTTTCCACCATAAACATCCATGCCATTTCTTTAATGCTGATCATTGTTACTATGCCTGTGGTCGGAAGGCTCTAATAGTGATATTTTACTTGTTCTCTTATCTGTTATTGGGCTGTTTGCACACTGCATACAAAAAGTGAATGAATAGTTCATCCATCTTACAACAACAAAAGCGCATAGTGGGAACAAGGGCAAAGGCAGAAAGATGAGGTGGTCCGCTCAGCAATATTCCTACTACCCTTAGTTTAAGGTGCTAATTTATACCAGACTCCTGGAGTGCAAACATATCAATCTCCTTTGCCTATCTAACAGAAAGATGCTTTGAGTTAATGAGTAGGAGAATGAGGATAAGACCATGGCCCAAAACTGTCCGGGATCAGTCATTGTGGACATTGAATAACATTGAGTGGCATTGCAGGGCAAAGAATGTCAACACATTTATGGTTTCTACGCAGTGAGACTGCAAAGGTGATGGGTGTGAAAATTTTGGCATCTCACACTGCTATAATTTGGAAAACCCTTATCAAATTTAGATTTGTTGATGAGCTTGGCCTGTAATAAACAGAGAATTCCACACTATCAACCCTTTGAATGTTTCATGTACAACATATTGTATTTCCCTTCCGTTCTATACCAGACACTAATTACAGATAGACAGACTAAAAATGTTCACTTTTCCAGCATAGCTCCATTGGTGAGGATACAATTTATATAAAATAGTGTTAAATAACTATTCTGATTGATTATGGGTGCTATTCATTCAGTCGTCCAAAAGCATGTTTTCAGTTCTTTAGAGATAGTAGGAACTGCAGATGCTGGAGAATCCGAGACAACAAGGTGCAGGGCTGGATGAACACAGCAGGCCAAGCAGCATCATAGGAGCAGAGCCTTGTCAGTGCATCCTTTATGCTTGAAAAATTGTGCTTAATCATAAATATTCATTATTTTGCATCTTGTCTTATTCCAGTTGATTTTGATGCCAGTTAATTGTACACTCAATTAATAATTGGAGATAGCAGTGGTTAACTTCAGTCTTCTTCCAATATAGCTTTGTGTCATGTATGCTATATATTATTGTAAAATACTCTTCTTGGTCTTATTAACATATATACTTTGGTTAACAAATAAACGTATAACACTCACAGGACTCTCCGATTATGGAAAGCACCAACAAACAAGGTCAACACCGCAGCATGTTTGTCTCAATATCTTTCAAAACTGTTGAATTTTCATGTTTTTATCAAAAAGAAGAAAGGAAAGGTAAAGTTCATAATGTGGACCGTGGGAATTAGAAGAAAATTAAGTTAATCCAGACAAAGTGACATCATGCTTGGGTTTTGAAACCATGAAGATTGTGCGAGCAAGCAGAGACTGATAAGTAACACGGAGTTTCACAGATTTGAAATTCTGAGAAAAGTTAGAGTTAGAGCAGGAAACAGTCTGATAAGTCTTGATTAGTAGAAATCTAGGAATTAGAGAGATTCATTTGGAGACTGAATATTTGGAGCTTAGAAGGAATATAAGAGGAAAATTGAAAGCAGCATTGACCACAGCAGCACAACATGAGAAGTGAATGTATTTCAGCATGAGGGAGCCTCCCAAAAGATCATACTTACCAGTCTAAACTGAGAGATCGTGGGCGGGGGCAGGAGAGGGACTGCTCATTCACTGCACTCTCATGCTGGCTGTACCTTTCCTTGTGGCAAAACCGCTGAGTCAATTTCAATTTACTGCTTTCGAGCCTGATAAAGGGAGGGGAAAGAAAATAACTATTGTTAAATTAAAAACATTAAAATGGATAGCAGACAAAATAACGAGACATAGCATGTGTTGTTATCCAGCTCTGGGTTGTAATGGAAAGATTAAAAGTTTCATTGGGATATTTCCCATCCCAAGAGGTCAGTATGCTGTGAAGACTTTGCACCATTCAAATTATGTCTTCCCGTTCTAATCCATTCTCTGCCAAACTGTCAATTTCTTTAGCCATTAACTCCTTCATGACAATAGTCATTTGCCTGCACCAAGATCACATAAGAAGAAATCAAATCTTATGTTTGTCCATTTTCAGGTTTTGGTTAATCATTGTGATGTTTTCCCCCAGTGAATGACTCTGTTTAAGGAGTGTAAACAAATCCATGGGAGCTTGGAGAGTTAGGTTTTCAGCTTCAGCATATCTCAGCAAAAACTTGCATTCGGCTTCTGGGCTGGGGAAGCAACAAAAAAATCAATGTTTTTGTGCTCAATTTGCTTCCAGTGAGTTAGATTCCATTAACATATACAGCTATATTGTAAAAGTTGAATGACTGATTTTCTTCAAACAAATCATCAATAAATGCCACTGCAAGAGACCTATCCAGGAATTCTAACTATAGAATATGTCCAGTGAAATGTGAATCAAATCTGAAGGCCATGGCCAGACTGCATCTTGAGTACTCTTGTTGGGTTCTGATCATTGAGATGAATCATTGAAGCAGAAAGCTCACACAAAGTTTCAAAACACTGATTATGAGGAAAGGTAAGACAAATGTAAGCATTTCATGTTGAAAGGAGTTGTTTGTGAGGTGATCTTACTGATCTAGATAAACTAAAGTAAAATATATCAATCACTAAAAGTTGACTACAGATTGGCAAGATGATACGATAAGCAAGCCAAGCATTAGGTTTTTTTCCAGATGGATAGAATTGAAAAGTAGAGAAATTATGTTAAATTTGTATCAAATTTTGGTTCAACTACACTTGAAATACTGTATGCAATCTTTATCATATTAATAATAGAATACAGAGACAGTGAAGAATAAGCAGAGAAGATTTACAAGGCTGATATCAGAAAGGCATGGATGTACATCAGAAAAAGATTGTCAGGATGGGTTCCCCTCCTTTTGAAAAAAAGGAAGGCTGAGAGACCACCTGCTAGAGGTATTTAAAATTATGAAAGTTTTTGCAGAGTGGATACGAAGAGAGTATTTACTCTTTGGGCAAGAGCATAACTAGCAGTCATCTACTTAAAATAGTCACCAAGAAATCCAATAGCGATTCAGAAGAACTTCTGCGCTCAAAGAGTGATAGAATGTGGAATCACTACCATTGACACTGGTTGAAGCAAACAGTACTGATGCATTTAAGAGGAAACTGGACAAGCATATGAGGGAGAAGGAAGTAGATGGTCAGGTATAAATGCTGGCATGGGCCATATTAACTCATTGACTCATAGATGTTTTCAGCACAAAAGGAGGCCAAGATCCAGCAAAGATCTGACTACACTAATCCCATTTTTCAGTTTTTGGTGCACAGTCCTGGAGTATATAGCAATACAAGTGAATATCTAAATTCTGAGTTTCTGACAACAATCCTTTCAGGCAGTTAAGTTTCAGACTCCCAGCACCATCTAAGTGAAAGATTTCTCAACTCTCCTCTTAGCCTTCTACCCACTATTAAATCCATATCCCTGTTTACTGACCCCTCTACTAATGGAAAGAGTGCCTTCCTATCCACCCTATATATGCTTCTCACACCTCTATCAGGTCCCCTCTCAACCTTTGTTGCTCCAAGGAAAACTACCACAGTTTGTTTAATCTTTCCCACATCCCAGACTGTCTAGATGAGGCAGCATCCTGGTAATTCTCTTCTGTACACTTTCTAGTGCAATCACATCCCTCCTTTTATGTGAAAATTGAGATCTGCATATAATACCCCAACTGTGGCATCACCAGCATTTTATACTGTTCCAGCATAACCTCATTGCCCTTGTATTCTACATCTTGGCTAATGAAGTCAAGAATACCGGATACTTTCTTAACCACCTTATCGACCTGCCCTGTTATCCTCGGGGATCTATGGATAGGCACAGCAAGGTCCCTTTGATTCTGAATGCTTTACAGAGTCATAACATTCATGGTATAATCGTTTTGCCTTGTTAGCCCTCCCCAAATGCATTATCTCACATTTTTCTGGGTTGAATTCTACTTGGCGCTGCTCTGCCCACCTGACCAATCTGTTGATAACCTCCTGCAATTTACAGCTATTTTCCTTGCTATATATCACTCTCCTAATTTTCATTTTCAGTTATGAATTTCTTGATCATTTCCTGCACATTTAATCCAAATAATTAATGTACACTACAAACAGCAAAAGCCCCAACACAGCCCTGTGGAATACCACTGGAAATAGCCATCCAGTGACAGAAATATTGGTCTGTCATCACCATGTGCTTCCTGCCTCTCAGCCAATCTTGGATATAACACAGCACTGTGCTTTGCATCCCAAAGGCTTTTACTTACTTGACCAGTCTGCCTTGCTAAAGGCCTTGCTAAAGTGCTTGAGAACTGCATCAAATGCACTACCGTTTTCGACACTACTGGTTAATTTGCCAAACATGCCTACCTGTTTTGATGCCTAAATCCTACATATTGTCATGTAATTCTATGTAAAACAATGATGTTATGTTAAAAAATGGACTACATTTTTAACTGCAAGAGCAGAACAAGAGGACACATGTTCAAAGAAGTACGGCATAAATTTACTCAATACAATTCAATTTCACTTTATTATTTGTAAGGAAATTTATTTTGGATACATTCCTCATTCATTTAATGTAATAACAACAACAAAAATTACCCTACCACAGAGATCTACCTTCAATTAAAATATATTAGAAAAATGAGTCCAATGCATTAAAGCAGTCAGTGATTTCCATTCTGTGTACGTCTCCCCATTCATTCATTGACTGCTATTGAAGTTCTTGTCGAGAAGTCTATAATGAATTAAAAAAAACAATTTGTCCTACATCTAAAGAATTGTAGCTATTTCCCTGAATGCATCCAAAGGTAATACTGAGAGAAGAGTGACTTCTCCTTGTTCATGGCATGTACTTTTGACAACATTCTTTGAGAGCAGATTTCATTGATAAAGTTCTGTTCATCAAATACCCATCCTGTCTGGCTCAATAATCTCTATACCCTTAAGGATACTTTCCTAAGTCCACAGTACCAGGAAATCACTGATCCAAACTAGGACCGACATCAAGATTACCAATTTCTCAAAGAACTTGAATGGTTGCAGGGTATTAAAAACTGAAGTTTTTCAATAAAGGTAGCACAAGCATAATTGCCTAAATCCAACAGTGTGCTGTTGAATCAATTGCATCAAAGTCAGAATCGTATAGTTCATTGATTTATGAGGTTGAAAAGCAAACTATATCAGATCAACATGTGCAACAAGAAGTTCTAAAATACACTTCTAGGACTGATCTCGTAAAATTTAATTCAGGACTGATATCAGAAAATGTATCTTTATTTATATAGAAAGAATGATGAAAATATGGGATAAATTCCTGAAAACAGTGGAATGGAAACCCTGAAATCATTAACTGTACATTTGGATGCTGTATTGCTGGATCTTTGAGGTCTTTCTGAGTGAATTTAAAGGTAATGAATGGTCTTCTGGTCCATCTCTACTATGTGACCTCGTAAGTCCTGTCTTTACAAGATCTATAAATGATTCCTAGCTCTAGAATTGTATCAATTAGTTCTTAGCTCAGAAGATATTTCAAATTTATTATCAGTGAATTAGGATGGTAGATCTATCAATGAATCGAGACTGTAGAACAATCACTGAATCAATTCCAGATGTACCAATGAATTCTGACTAGATCCATGAACGAATTGTGACTGGATCTGTGAGTGAATCAAGGTGGTATTCTATCAATAATTCCTGACTGCAGATCTATCAATGAATCATGATCAGGAATTATGGTAATAGATCTTGACTTTTTATAAGCTAACCCTGTCCTCATATAATGCACCATATCTCATGATACATAATTTTATATTGAAAAAATATTCTGAGACATTTTCATGCCTATAGATCATTCTAAAGTACTCAAAATTTACACCGATATAATTCAAACCTAACCAATTATTTAAATAAATGCAAATATACTGATGATGTTTTAATAAGTGGCAATTTATCTATTTACTTTAAAACTGTAAATATATTCATTCTCGCTGTGCATCTATTAACTTCAGGACTGATATCAGTCCTGAATTTTGTGCATCTATTAACTTCCTCTTTTGACTGCAATTACAATCCAGTCATGTGAAAGCAGAATTAAAGCTTGACAGAGTTATTTGTCCCTTTTGTCCAGATTACAGTATAAAAACATAAATAAATAAAAAATTCTGAATGGTGAATCTGAAACCTAGTCTAATACCATAGAGCGTTGTTACAATACATCAGCAAGTACGTGAGTATCTGTTGATAACTGTGTGTTCTTCATTCAAGTTAAATGTTTCAATGTAATATGAACGCTTGTAATAGATTCATAAATAATGGTTCACTTAAATTCATTGTGCCCTGCAAAGTAATTGAAGGATCCCAACTTAGGATTGTAATGAGACTCTGGCTTGTTTTGGTTGAGAGTACAAGTTTCAAGCGAATTTACAATCCTTTTCAGGTTTCTGAATTGCAAAGTGTTTCATTCTCCAGCAGTAAAATGCCCCACTTTGACAGCATAAAATACAGAGAAAAGCTTGGTAAAGGATCCAGCATTATGTTTATTTTGGGTGTGAAGACGCCCCTTACGCTTCTTCTCTACTCCAAATTACACCCTACCTGCTTAGACCCATGCCAAATCAAAGTAGGTATTTAAAAAGCAAGAAGGAAATATTAAATAAAAATTAAAACAATATGAAGGGAATGTGCCAGAAGGACAGGCGACGCAGTGGTGCTGGGGGTGCTCAGACCT